TTATTTACCATACCGGCTAAAACTTAGTAATAATGATGCCAGTAAGGCAAGTAATTACGTATGTTAAGCTTATGGCTGCCTGTTTGCTGCCCGTGACTATTATGCGGTTATAGGCGGCAAGTATTGTCGGTATATACAAAGGAGATTGGAATGGCCGTTGCTGGCTCATTACTCGTCGTTGGCCGTCTTCAAACCCAGACTCCAGTGGTGCCTCGTCCAAATTCCCTAGACCTTGTGCAGCGAACTTGTTGTCTTTCCAGTTTAGGTTGGGGATATTGACATTCATTAATGAACGTTCACTGGCCGCTAGCAGAGCTAATCTGTCCCGCTCTGCCTTGGACCTCGAGAGAGGCCCTGACAGCCGTAGCAGCCGTAGTTGCTTTTTTGCCACAGTGGCTGGTCCTTTTTCGTTCTAGGCCTGTAGATGTTTGCATATAGTGACGTACTCCGAGTAAGAATTTAATTTCCGATGAAATTACGAAGCTTAAATTGCAAAACTGAATAATCTACCACGAAATACCCTTACTGTCCCCAGGCAACAACTATATATATACAAGCTACGGACTGTTTCTAACCAAGTTCAGAATACTCTTTAATTATCACACTGTGGCTGATGGGAATCGATGGAAGTATTCCTATAACCTGTTGGTCTGTGATTAGAAATACTTAAACGAACGCATTTACTCCAAGTAAGCGATTACTCACTGGAAATGCTAAAAAGCATAAACCACGAGAAGGTTTCCGACCTAACTCTCAGTGTTCAGTTAACAACGACTGGCAGCTCCCAACAGAACTGACACTTTGAATGCGAGAAACAAAACTGAGAACAAGAAGGAAACGTGATCACTGGGATAGTAAATTTATTCGCCAGATATTTTGGCAGTGCGCTTGAACCCATCTTCAGAGACAGCGTTCGATGGGTTCGTACTGGAAGCTGAAACATCTGGCGACTATAATTTTTATATAAAATGCTTCATGCATAGGTAGGTGCCAAACCTGAACATAATTCCAACAACATTTTTCGTTCGCTTTAGCCACCTCTTCACCTCCACACCATACCATCAGTTCTTTTGCTGAGGCCAAGGCCATTGACAAGATAAACGAACGCATGCCACCGCCGCTGAAAGATTCCGAGAGCATGAAATGTAAGGTGGCCGGTTTTCTCGAGACGACAAAACCATCCCTCGCAAAGACAGAGCCCCCGCCGGCACGTTCCACTGCCGAAGAGGCGCCAAAACGCAAGACGAGCGCCTCGAGGCCGGCGCCGACTCTGGTGATAGCAGATGCTGATGCAACCTAACTCCTATTCTGCCCCAAACTTGCCCCAACAATACATATGTTTGGTGTTGGCCTTGTTCCCCTCCTCCTTTTTCTCCCTATCTTCCTCCTCCTCCCAATTTGTGCGCGTATATCCACTTACAGTACATGGTAATTAGCTTTTGATAGCAATCAAAAGCAACAATCAAAACGAGCACTGCTCAACTGTAGTATCTGAGCCGATTTTGGTGTCTCCAAATCTGCCAAAGTGCGAGTGGGTGGATGCAATGGGAATGTGTTCAAAAAATAACAATTTCCCAAAAAATATAAGCTGAGACTTTTAGAAATCTCAGCAACTTAAATCTGTTTATTTTCGTTGCCCGATTTCGGCCTTATTTACGCTTTAGTCTCCATATGCGTTCTCTGTTTTGGGGATGGGAGCTGATCTATAGAAGACAAGTTCATGTTTCTTCGTTTACCCGATTCTCCCTGTCAACCCACAAACAAAAAAAAACAAATCTGTCTCTCACAATTATTTATTCATTATATGCAATTGTGCACTTATTTTAAAAATATTATCTTTAAAATATTCTTTCGATTTTGTTGAATATGGTGCAACGAAGCTTATAAGTTTCCAAGACAGTTTTCTACAACAAAGAAACACAGGTTTTGTGAAAATTCGCATAACCCTTTTGAATGCAAACAAAATCCCCAAAATTGGCGAATCTTCCCAATACTAACTTTTCGAAACAAATACCCATTAAGTCGATCTAAAAATGGTCATTGTTGCATGCAAAATGCACAAAACATATTTCGATTTGACTTCGTAAACGTGACTTGTTTTGAGTCTTTTTCATCTGCACGTTGTAATATTTTATTTCAAACAAAACCAGGAGACTATGGTATTAGTTAGCTCTGAACCAACCCTATGTCCTGGAATATTAGTAGTAGGGTTCAAATCTCGGGATTTCCAACCCTTGAAATTGGGTATGACTGGCTGATGA